TGTTTTTGCATAAGAACTGGAACTATTTGACGTTGTCGCTGAAATGCATAATGTGCTTCAGCTCGACAATAGTTACTTTGTCGATATTGTTCACTCATACAAATTATAATGATTTCTGATTGATCAATAGCTTGTGCCATTGCATCCATGACATTTCCATGCATTTGATCAAAATCAATCCAAACACGATAACCATTTTTAGTTAGTTCATCATAGAGTTGTTTACAGAGAACTTTTTCTTTATGTGAATAACTAATCATAATATGAAAAGTATTTTGATTGGTATTTTGTGATATAGATCTATCTTGATGATTGATTTCAAGATTCCAAAGAATACCATGAGTAATTTTACGCATTTGCTCATTGCCACCTTGTTGAGCAAGATGAGACAGCTTAGACATGAATGATGAATTCGAGCGAAGTTGTTGTTGAATATCATGATTGAATGAAAGTGCCCATATAATATCATATAAAATTGGATATTGCTCAGACATTTCAATGAAAAGTGGTATTTTATTTGAACTGGCGGTTCGTTGTTGTATTGAATCATTTTTTGATAGGGCTTGAAAACCTAGAAATAATTCAAGAATGATTAATCTTTGTACATTTATCAAATTGACAAGAATTAAACTTAAGAATGAATTGTTTCTCATTTATGTTACAATATATGGCAGCGACATTTCTCATATTGGCAAAAGGGATCCGTGAAAAACTTTTGTCTAATTATGCAGTGCTAGAGTGTAAACTCCTTTCGATGTACGGTTCTAAGTTTAGACTCGTTAAATAATGAAAAATAGTTATGTTTTAACGTTTGAATTTATACAATGTGTATACCTCTTAGTAAATATTCAAGGGGTATTGGTTTATATTTGTTCGATGAATTATTCCATGCTTCTTGTATCATATTCAAGAAATAATCACTAATATTATCAGCTATTTTCAAATCTTTCAGAAGATCATCTCCAAGAGCTTCACCAAGTAAACAATATCCGCACAAACAAACTTCATCATTTAGTGCAGCCTCAGATACAGATATAATTGTATCTCGTATTGTTGTATTCGAACGAAAAAGCCAATTTATATTTTGTGTTTGGACTATTACATATAAGATCATTAATATTGTATCCATTAGAATTGTTACATCATTTGAACGTACAGATTTCGTTTGTTTGTAAAATGGTGTATGAGCAATGATGCGAGTAAGATCTTCTACATGATCACATGTTGTTTGTTCTTTAGAAAAGAGTATCTTCAACTGCGTTCGTTGTTGTCCATCCCACCAGCACAATACCCCCATTAATCCAACAAGTTGTGCAATACAACCAAGCAGTTCCTTATTCCAGGACATTACATTATAACTATGAACATGAATTATTTCTAAGTAATCTTCGTACAAATAACGAATCATTTCATCAGCTGTGTAAGGAGAATTAGAAGATCTTATAGATATAAACAAATATGCATATAAATAAAATGAACATGTTTTTATATAAAATAAGAATTTAGCTGTGAATACAGATTGGATTAAGTATGGTTGTCGAAGTTCAGTCAAATATAGTTTATATTGCTTGCTCATAAAATATTTAACTGTAATATGTCGACCAATATAATCAATAATTGGTGGTATATTATACTGTGGATTATCATACAGAAAATAAGAATAATTATCCAACCACAAACTGATAATATTAATAAATGGGTTGTTATCGTCATTACTTCGGTCAAGCTTTGCAAATACCTCATTCATTTGATCAATACTGACACAGAAAAGAAGAGATCCTTTCGTATCAACTTTAACATCACCATTATTGAAGATTAAGTCCTTGTTGAATGATGCAATAGTATAAAAGAACTCTTGATAATATTCTTCATTGATCCATTTATCATAGTAATGACTACTGAGTACTTTCCACACCCATCGTTCAACTACTAATAATGATTCATATGATTTGTGTACAAATGAACATAAACATTCACTATCTTGTTCTTTAAGAATTAATGAGATTTGTTGAAGAATATCAACTGATAATGGAGAA